GAGAGGGAGGTGAGCAGAGCCCACCCAGCAGCTCCCAAGCCCAGCACCCACCTCTGGCTGGAGGGACCCAGGGCTCCCTGGAGCAGCAATGGGGATGCCCCCATCCTGGGGCAGGGTGGGTACCTGTGGCAGATGGCTGGGCAGCTCAGGCTCTGCAGCAGAACTGGGCGTGGGGGCTCGGGGACCCTCGGTGGCTGTCCTTCTGCCTCCTTTGGTACTTCCTTCCCTTCCCCCTGAGCCTTCATGGCAGCCACGGTGTGGGCTCCTCAGCCCCATCCCCAGCCTCTGCTGCCACTGCAGGGGGCTCCACCTCGGCAGCTTTCTCCCCTCCATCCAGAACCTTTGCAGCTGCCGGGATCTTCTCCTTTGCAGGATCTTTTCCTCCATCCCCAGCCTTTGATGCAACTGTGGATTTTTCCACATTTGCAGTTTTCTTCCCTCCATCCTGCATCTTCACAGTTGATGGAGCTTTCTCCTTTGCAGGCTCTTTTTTGCCTCCACCTTGAGCCACTTTTGCAACTGGGGTTTTCTCTGCCTTTGCTGCCACCTTCTCTCCATCCTGAGCCTTAGCAGCATCTGGGGCCTTCTCCTTTGCAGGAATTATGGCCTTCTCCTTTGCAGGCTCCTCTTTGGCTGCATTTGGAGCTTTTTTTGCTGCTGGGGCTTTTTCTGTCTTTACCACTTTGTTCGCCCCACCCTGAGCCTTTGCAGCAGTTGGGGCTTTCTCCTTTGCAGATTTGTTTTCAACTGGGGCTTGCTCTGCATTTGCAGTTTGCTTCCCTGCATCCAGAGCATTAGTAGTGGCCGGAACCTTGTCCTTTACAATCACTGTGGTTTTCTCCTTTGCAGGCTCTTCTTTGCCTCCATCCTGAGCCTGAGTTGCAGCCAAGGCTGTTTCCTCCATGAGTTTTGCCTTCCCTCCTTCAGACTCTGCTGCAACTGGAAGTGCCTTCTCCATGGGCTCTGATTTCCCACCACCATCAGCCCCTGACTCACCAGGAGCTTGCTCCTTCCTGGGCTCATCCTTTCCTCCATCCTGAGCTTCAGTTACAGTCAGGCCCTTCCCCTCCATGGGCACTACCTTCTCTCCTTCAGATTGTCCTGCAGGCGGAGCCTTCTCCTCCCTGGGCTCATCCTTGCCTCCATCCTGAGCCTCAGCAGCAGCTGGAGCCTTTCCTCCTTTGAGCTCTCCTGCAGCTGGAGCTTTCTTCTTCCCAGGCTCATCCTTACCCCTGTCCTGAGCCTTGACAGCAGCTGGACCCTTCTTCCTAGGCTCATCCTTCTTCCTGTCCTGAGCCTTGGCAGCAGCTGGAGCCTTCTCCTCCATGGGTGCTGCCTTCCCTCCTTTAAGGTCTCCTGCAGCTGGAGCTTTCTTCTTCCCAGGCTCATCCTTCCCATCCTTCTCTACACCCTGGGTCCCAGTTGGCATCTTCTCTCCCACGGATGCTGCCTGCCCTCCATCAGATGATTCCTGTCGTCCACTGTGCTGCACAGCTGAATCCTCCTCTGCCGGCACTGCTTGCTGTCCCTCCCGAGGCTCTGGAACAGCCGGGGCTGTCTCCCGCGCTGGCTCTGCCTTCCCTCCTCCAGCATCAACTTCAGCCTTCTCCTGCCCAGGCTCATCTGCGCTGGCAGCCGGCGCTGTCCCCCCTTGGGGCTGGGCAGCCTGGGGAGCTGTGCTGCCCTCTGCTTCAGTGGGGGCTGTGCCACCAGTCCCCCCAGTGCCGGCATCGTCCGCCCCATCGCCCTGCTCCATGGGGACTCTCCAGGCAGGAGGCAGCTGCCCTGCTGTGCTCCCCGTTCAGCGAGTCTCCTGCGGGAGAGAAAGCAGCAGCTGAGAGCTCCCCAGACCCGACACCCTGCAGAGGGGCACGGAAGGACTCGGGTAGACTCGGCTCCTGCAGGGACAAACTGCTGCCAGCCAGCCAGGAGCTGTGCCCCCACCCCCTGTCTCCGGCTCCCGGGCTGGCGGCACCGAGCCAGGGACCCCACCGGGCTGTCAGTGCCGGCACTGTCCCATTGTGCCCCGGTATCTGCCCCGCGGTGACTGATCGATGTCCTGACGCCGGCACCTGTCACTGGGTGCCTGGGGCCTCTGGCGTGCGAACAGCCACCGCGGCGCGGCCAGGGTGACAATTTAAGGCTGCGTCCCACCGTGCTAGGGCAGGAGACAGAGGCTCCAGCCTTGGGGCTGGGAAGCAGGAGAAGTGAGGATCCCCCAGCATGGCCCCATCACTTCTCCCCATGAAACACAGGAGGTCCAGCCATGCAGGCAGACCCCTCCGCAGGGGCCACACAGACCCCCAGACCCAGCAGCTGCCAGTGCTGCTCATCCCTCTGCCCAGTGACAGCTGTATCAACCAAAGGGACCTGTTGGTACCCAGGTACCTGTATGGGGGCTCCGGCCCAAAACCTGATCCCTAAATCCCTTCCCTGCCCTGTGCTCCACTGCTTTCCTGTACCCAATCACCTCTCCTCACCCTGTACCAAAACACCTCCTTGCACAGCCGTCCAGAGACTGGGACAGCCCAGTCCCAGAATAAACCCACCAGCGATCATCCTACTAACAGGGAAGTTGCTTGGTAGTCTTACTGGAACAGAAGCTGTAGCAGAGGGAGAGCATTGCCACAGTCCAGCACGAGCAGATGAGGGTGCCCTTCACAGGGATGGAGGCTCCACTACCCCCAGGACCCCCCACACCATGCCCCAAATGACCAGCCATGGGCACCCCCAGCCCCTTTACCTGGATCCTGGTGCAGTGGGTGGTCAGGGGGGCAGCATCCGCACTGTGGCAGCTCCAGAGGGAGCAACCTCTTCTATGCCGGGTGTAACGGAGCCGGATTAGTGCAGGCAGAGGAGGATCCTTTACAGCAGCAGGAGCTGTCCTGCTTCGCCTTTCCCAGCACCTGTTGTTGCTGGAGCCTGTTCAAAGGACACGCCACTCTCGCCTGTCCCCCGTGGGCTGGGGACACACAGGCACAGGGCAGGGGCCAGGGCCCGGCCCGGCTCCCTTTCCCGGGCTGCCCCCAGCCACAGTGGCACCTGAAAAATATTCCATGAGGGTGGCCCGGGCAAGCTGGATGAGATCCAGGTGGCCAAGGTCTTTCAAGGTGCGCACAGGTGACACAAGGTGAACCACCATGGGGATGGTGGCTGGGGGGCTGCCCCCAGCCACAGTGGCACCTGAAAAATATTCCATGAGGGTGGCCCGGGCAAGCTGGATGAGATCCAGGTGGCCAAGGTCTTTCAAGGTGCGCACAGGTGACACAAGGTGAACCACCATGGGGATGGTGGCTGGGAGCAGCTGGTGATGGGTCCCCCCTGCCCTGTCACTGAACTGCAGCCAGCTCTGCCTGCTGGGATTGGTCCTTTGGG